AAGTCGAATGCTGTGAATATCATTGTTTTCATCAGGAAGCAACAACAACTGGGAGTCGAAATCAATCTTTGCCTTGTGTTGATTTAAGAAATCCACTCCAAAAATGAAAGGATAATGAAGATCTTGTATGATATGGACGGGATGTGAAAATTTGACACCACTTATAGATATAGGAATTGTTAACACACCAAGAACGTTGAGTCTAGCACCTGTAACACCTTTGATGATTGGATGTGTAGCAGGTTCAAATGAAGCAACAGCGAGACTTGTTCTGTTAATGAAAGAAGCACTAGCTACTGTAATACTTGCACCGGTATCCAACAATGCATTAGTACGTTTTGTTTTGACGGAAATTTCAACTTTGTTTTGTTTTAAAGTTGTAGCCAAATTTATGGAAGCTGATTCCTTATCATGTTGTGATGAAGTCTTTTTCTGGTGCCTATCCTTAGATTTTACTCCAAGAACAGGCGCGAGTCCCTAGCGTGAACAGTTTAAATCGCGAAGATATTTCGTTACACAAAATTTTTCAAAATGATTGTATCTGCCACATTCAGTACAGTAATGACCTCTGGCTGGACAATGTAGTTTAGAAAAACATGTAGCACTTGCACATCCATGACAGTAATGTTCTGGAACTGGATTGGAATTGGTTGAAGTTATCTCGTGGTCTTTGATGATATAATTGTCGTGGGCCTTGCTGGTAGTGTTGTTGCTGTGTATGTTGGTATTGAGGTTGCTTATGGTTGTATTTAGGTCGAGGTCCAGAGGGGTAATGATTTGGTGGAGGAACACTGTATTGGCTTGGATGATCCTGTGAATTACTGTTAGTCGATCGAGCAGTAGTATCCAAGCTGGTGTTGTTTGGTACGCTAGAATGCATAGCTGCAATTGTTTGTTGAAGCTGGTTAGTAACATTACACACTGCAGACATGGCGTTGATAACACTATTTTCATCATTGTTTGTAAGTGTTTGAGAATCCATTTTGATTGTCATTTCTGCAATAGAAGCTGAATTCAGCAAGTTTTCTATTGTTTGTGGGAACTGTGGCATCACTATTTTTCGAATTGGGGCGTGCAATCCTTTCATGATCATCGTAGTAAGACAGTCTTCCGGCATGGTGGAGTCAGTGGCTACCTTTTGAATTCTTGAGATATACTGGTCAACGGACTCTGAACCCTGTTGTTTTATATCGAATAATCCAAGACTGAAGGGAACTTGTGGTTTAAAACAGGTCAGGAAAGCAGCTTTCAGACGGTCCAGGGATGTTCGAATTTCTGGTGCAAGTTGAAAGAACCAGTCTCTCGCTGTGTCTTTTAGATAGAAAGAAAAGAAATCGTGAGCAACTTCGATCGGTATGTTCATTAGGGTTATGAAGGTCATAAACTGTGTCCAGAATTGGGCCGCAGAGGTCTTCCCATCATAATGTTCAAGGCTAATATTTGCGCGCGGGTAAGGCACAAATGTTGATGTTGGTACTGTTTGCGGAACAGCCGTACTACTCTGTGTAGGTGGAGGTAGTACATAGACAGCTGGTGTTGCGGGTATCGCTGTGTTCTGCATTATGTCTGTAGTTAGTTGATCGTTCTGAGAATGGTACAGGGCAGCTCTAGATGGTGTTGGTGGCAAGTTGTTCTCAACACATTGGGATGTATCTGTCTCTTGGTGAAGTTGAGGTGGTGGTGGGGGAGGATCTTTTGGTGGTGCCAATGAAGATGCAGATGTTGTCCCTGAATAGGGATAGTTGTCAGCTGCAGTTGCGACTGTTGCTTCCATCTCGGGATTGTTCGTAGAAGTTGCTTGTTTTTGATAATTTAGTGGGACATTTGGTTTGTATCCTAAGCGGCGGAAAAGAGAACTACTGGACGATTGGAGTCTAGTTGTAGGTCCAGGCATAATGTAGATAAATCACGTGAAGAATGCTTTGATGGTGCTGACTTCGTTGAAAGAGATGGTATAGTTGTAGTAACTGTGGGGAATTTGTTGAGTTTGGGGAATTTCTCTGGTAGAGCACGTCAACTTGGCAATGAGAGGTTGGGGTCGAATGGATCTCCGCCACTTTGTCTCACACGGTTTGGGTATGTTTTTAGTTAACTGAGCCCGATCCGTATATTGAGACAATTCTTTTTGTCAATTAGACTATCCTTGCAATCAGGTTTGTCCTTGATCTAGAAATAGAGGCGAAGAGTGGGAAATATAAATGTTATGTCTTTATTAGCGCAATCATAGAATGGATCAAATTAAAGTAACACGGTCAACGGTCAAGTTGAAATAAATGTTACAAAATACATTATATGTATATACATAAAAACATTAATGATGACCGGATGTGACAAAAGAACAGCAACTTTCACAATAAAACAATGTACAAATTATTTGACAAAATAGACACATAAAAAAAATGAAATATCAATTAATTCAGCTAGGAATAAAGAAATAATTATTTACATATCGCTAACAAATTTTGAACTCTTACAAAGTTTTAAGAATAGAATTTTCGCTCGTCATTATGCACTTCTCAAAACGATTTACATATTTAAGAATTACAAAAATTCTTTCTCCCTACATACATTGTAGAAGAGTTGTACTTAATGATACGTCTTATTTCCCTTTAGCTAACTATATTTAAAATTGTCAAAATAATTAAACAAGATATAAATGCAATAAGCGTATTTACAAAAACCATACTTAATTTTTGAGAGTACTAAATGCAAATCTTAATTAATTCCAAAATACATTAAATTCATATAAAAGAAAATAAAATGAAAGTAAATAATTTCAATACAAGTACATACCTAGAAATAGAGGCGAAGAGTGGGAAATATAAATGTTATGTCTTTATTAGCGCAATCATAGAATGGATGCGCATTTCCCAACTCTTGCCCAATTTAAAGGAATAGGGTTTGAAAAAGAACCAATCAAAAATTTAACTCAAGATTTTAAGATAACAATTAGTGAAAAGGCAATTAACGAGTAATGATAATTAAATGACAGTTATGATTAATTTGAAGCGAAAACAACTCAACATGAGAAAACAAGGTACTCGCTCATGACATCTTGGACCTGAACAATTAATTTAAGTTTGTTCAAATCAAGGCCCATGTCTATACCAAGTAGATATTACCAAGAAGTAGTTAAAACTGGGTGGTGCTATTTTAAAAAAAAAAACTTCTTAAGAACCAGGGGATTTGAAAAATATGAATCTTATTTGAAAGATTTTTGACAAAGAGATAGTTTTACTTTATGTATAACAGATTGCCAATTTCTATTAATTTCTTTCTAACAAATATACCAATTTATGGACTCAACTTTGTGCTTTCATTTCTATTAAAAATTTTCTCCTGAAGACTTGCTCTATGATAATTCAATGTTCTTAAATTTTAAGAATTAACTATATGATCATTTGTAAATAACAACTTGAATTAATTCTATCGATTATTTATAAAATCTTGTAAAAATGCAATACTTGATAGCAATACAGTTGAGTAATAGAGGAAAGTCTTACGTCAAATATGACGTCATCAACCTTGACATGACGCAGCACAAGTGATCCAAAGGACTAGATTTACTGGTTAAATAATTATAAGAATGCTTATTATGACGTCATCAACCTTGACATGACACAGCACAAGTGATCCAAAGGACTAGATTTACTGGTTAAATAATTATAAGAATGCTTAAATAAATTTGATATTCCTTACAGAAATTTCTGATAAGTGACTTATAAGTGATTTATTCTTTTACTTATAAGTTGTTTATTCTGGACTTACACTTCACTGATACATTTAACTTGTAAGTGACTAATATGTTACTCATTAGGATTTTATATGCAAATGAGCTGCTTGACCTATGAGTGACTTATAAGCCAGTATTAGCCACTTAATAAGTGGATTATAAAACACTTATAAGTTTCTATTAGTTTTTTCTGTAAGGGATCATGGCTAATTTTTAGATCTAATCATTTAAACTAAAAGAACATAATTTATTAAATACAATGTGTATAGAATATAAATTTATCTAGTAGCAATGGAGCTGCGCAGGGACAAGGAATGTAGAGAATATATTGCTAAAACGATGAGCATATTCGTGATTAACATCAAAAGTGCAAGGGCATAGACTATTTTGTTTGAGCTGAAATTTGGAATATTTATTGCTTATAAAGTGTTTATTTTGAAAAATGCTGTGAGCTGATCCTGGTCTGCATAAAATTATTTTATTTATAACAGAATTTAAGCGAAGTGAAAATTTTTAGCTAATATAAGAATTTTCGGCAAAATTTTCAGTACTTCGCAAACAGCACTGACTAGCTTCTAGCACTTTTTGGGTAGAGGAAATAAACATATTTTAATGTGTATCAATTTTTTTCTTGAAAACCAAGCGTATGCCCTTGCACTGTCCCCATTTCCTACCTTCAGCTTAACAATTCTATTTTGAAACAAGTCACGTGACAAACAGCTGATATGCGGTATAACTGGTAATAACTACGGCCCAGTCCTATCCATTATTGATAGCTATATTACATTTTCTACAAGTATTCAGTTGCTTTGTTACAATTTTTTAAAAGAAGCAATGCATATTAAAACGGTGCTAAGGTCACATTTTCCATATCCACAGTTTGTGATCAAAATTTTAATTATCAATATAGAGAAGAAAAATCTCAATAACATAACGGCTATGTTTAATCATGTTGACATGTAAGGATCCTAATGTAAGGTAATGAAGATTCAAATTTCTCTTAATCAATCTTTTAAATGATCCCTAAGTGTAGGAGGAAGTCACAAATGAGGATCAAATTTTTACGAAGTAAAATAAAAAAGCATTTTTTCAAGAACAGCTAAATCCATTGTCTGCTAGCTTCATACTTTTAAACTCAATAACTCTTTTTTACCAGGAGAAAGAAAAGTTTTTCCGTGAGATATGGACAAGCTTGGAAACAAAGGATGCGTCTCTGCAAAGGCATTTTGACAGGGAAAGGATGTTTGCTGTTGGATTCCATGAGAATGAATGCATTGAAAAAATCAAGCTGTCAGTTGTTTATGTTGTCAAAAATCTTGATCACTGCGGAGAGAAACTTCCATACTCCTGGGCAATGTTTGAAAAATTCTTCCAAGAAAAGAAAAACCTTAAAATCATCAACAAAGAGACACTTTTGGCTTTCAATGACGCATTGCCACAGGAATTGAAGCTGGAAGCAGTCAAAGATATTAACACCATGCTGCACTTTTTCCATGACATCAGAGAAATTTTACACTTTGACCAAGAATTTCTTAGAGGAATCATAATTCTTGATGTTCAATGGTTTGCAGATGCATTCAAAAATGTCATTACCGATAAAAACCATGCAGCAGAGGATTTATTTAAGCTTGCCTCACAATGGGATAAATTTAATGAAACTGGAGAACTGAGTGACACACTGCTGTCTGCGATATGGAAAATGAACAACAATGGGTACCTTGAATACAAAGAAGATTTCATGTGCTACATGGAGAAGCTAGGACTCCTGGCTAAAATGGATGAAAACAAATGGTATGTCCCCTGTATGAACAAGAAACCATTTCCTGCGGAATGCTTTTCATCCTACCCTGCCTCATCCATCCTCTGCTACGTCTTTGATGCTCTTCCTGCTGGAATTTTCCAGCGCCTGGTAGCTATTTGCATTCAAATACCATGGAAACACAATTCAAGTCGTGATGAACTATGCATTTACCAGACAGTAGCTGTGTTTCGTTTTGAGAATCATAACATTTTGATTGGTATGACACCAACAGAAATTCAGTCACAAGTGTTTGTAATTGAAGGAGAAGTCGATAAATCTATATGTCAACAAATAAAGCACAAGATCGACAATATACTGAACATTCTCTCAGAAACATTTCATACAGACTCTAAATTTTCTAACGCTTTCAAATGCAAAGCTACAGGATTCTGTGATAACAATGAAAGTTCCGTGATCAACGAATCAGAGTTTACAAAACCTAATTTTCAGTGCCCTGCCTGTCCAGTTGGGAGAATGCATAACATCAACTCAAAGGATATCACGAAATTTTGGATCCAGGTATTTAATTTTAATAGCTGTTTTTTCCAGAAGAAAAAAGGAGTTAAATTTTACTGTAAGATTTAGTTTCTGAAAATTTTTAATATTCTGGATCATACTTTGAGTGTTCTGCACGTATATCTTGGCTACATGACTCCTATTTGAACTTTACAGTCTTAAGTTAACTCAATTAAACCTCAGAAACGTATTGGAAAGTATATCATTCATAAAAACTGTTGAATAAGTTTTTCAAAAAAAAAATTTAAAAAAAAAATAAAATAAAAAAAAGGTTACGATGGAAGTTTTAAATCTGAAGAAAAAGAGGGGGAAAAAAAATCATTAAATTTCTACAAAAAATGTTAAAATGGGTTAGATACGATAAATTTGAAATTAAAGAAGGAAAGGCAATCTAAAATTCATAGAGAGTAAATACAAGTTGTTTAATTAATTTCCTAAAATAAAGGAATTTGGTAAAATTTGAAGTATAATTCCTATTGGGGTAAAAAAAAGTCTTTAAAGGCTGATTTTGATAAGAAGGTCATCGTAGCGTTCAGAGAAATATACATCATTATTGTGCAACATATGTGTATACTTATTCAAATCATAATTCCAATATTTACTGGGGATGTGTGAAAAAAAATGTAGTTTTGCTTTATTTTAGTTAAAATCAGAGTTTATATATGTATATATTATGTAGTTTTCAATATGAAAACTGCAAGTCGAGAGCAAAAATGGAACTTGTCATTTCACTCACTCATTGTTTTCACTGAAACATTCATTTGTAATGTGAGAGTTCAACGAAAGTTTGTTATACCTTTTCCGTGTTTTCCATTTGTGAAATTTTGTGTGTAGTATTATTTGATTTCAATTGATCATTAATGATGGGCATACAGTGTGCACCGTTTTTAGTGTAAATATTTAAACTTTTACATATTAAAGGTACACGACGATGAAACTAAGCTTACTGGAGATAAACGTTCACCATCAGGTAGTTCTGGAACCAGTGGGTCACATCCTAAAGGTATCTCTACTAAATTTTCAGATAGAATCCTCTGTTCGTTTCACATTTCCCTTGAATTTACGTAGCACAGATTATAGAATATCAGAGAGACTAAGTTTTCTAGTAATATATTGTCTTGTGAAAGGGACATTGGTGTACACAGAATAATTCAAATCAATGAAAATGAATCAGTCATATATATACAAATTATATATGTATGTAAATTTTCGCTAGAAATGATTCTCAATAGTATTGTTATTTTATATCATTTTGTTAGAAAAAAGAGAAACTTATCAAAGAGTTCAGTAAATCAATACAAAATTCTAAAAATATACAATTATGAGGATTTTTCCAATTTCAATATTCACTTAGCATTGAAGCAACATATAGATAAATGCATTAAAATCAAATAATTTGTCAGATATGTCCCCTTATCTCTTGCGTATCCTGTTTGCTTAAACTTAAACTGTATGTATCATATGTATAAACTTAAACTGTATGTATCATATGTATAAAAGGAAATCAACTTAAACAATCACATGAGGAGCAGATACGGCCTTTTCTTTTCCTAATATTTATTAATTAGTTCATATCCTTTACTGTAGACTTATTTTCATTTGATATATTTGAGAAGGTATTGAATGAATAATTTATATTTTTCATTTTCTTTCATCTTACCCATATTTTTTTTTTTCGATTAATGGAGACAATTTGGTTATATTTCTATTATATAGATAATTTTGCCAAGATATTAATGTTATTGCAAGTTGGAACTGATGCAGTAAGAATTTGCTTTGATAAATTCTTCCCAAAAGAAGAACTAGGAAAGACTCTGAAAGAAAATGAAACAGACATAAGAAGAGGACAGTTTCGATTCCAACCACCTCAGTTAGAGATTCTGTTCCCAAAACAAGGTACTTATTGGTTTTCTTCTTTTAATGAGGAATGTTATGCTTCTAAAAAATGTTATGGTATAAAGGAAATATAAAAGTTTGTAAAAAAAAAAAAAAAAAAAAAAAAAAAAAAAACTTCTTTACTTAAAATTACTGTAAAATATTTTCTATTCTATATATTACACAATATTTGTTTTTCCTTTAACAAAGAAATTGAATCCCTTCAAACCTCTAAGTTTTTCTCAAATCAAGAAAATGTTACCCCTAAAAACAGTGATTTTACAACTTTCAACTAATCACTTAAAGAACAAGATCCTCTTATTTATTTACAAGTTATTCCTTTTGAAATAGTATTGGATAAAAGAGCAAAAAAAAGTTAACAGAATATTAAAAAAACGACAAACGTCTATAAATAATAAAGCTAAGCAATTTTAATATTAAAACTAGAACAGAAGAGTACAAGTTGAAACGAATTTAATGTTAAAAAGGATAGAAAATAAGAGTGGTTTCAATACCAAATTTAAATATTAGAAATGTTTTGCTTGATTTCAATGTTTCTTCATATAAGATATTGTAATTACCAAAAACATTTTCTTTTTTTTTCTTTTTCTTTTTTAAGGTCTTCCGTCTTCATGGAAGACCTTATAGTTATTCTACTGTTTCTTATTATTATTAGGGTCTTCCGTCTCCAACGGAAGACCCTTCTATTATTGTATTGTTTCTTTTTCACTTTTATTATTATTATTATTATTATTATTATTCCACTTTTTCTTTACAATTTTTGTGCAGACGATATCTCAAAAACGGTTTGATCTATTTTAATGAAATTTCCAGTGATAATGTGTTTTGATCTGAAGATGATCCTTTTTTGTTCAAATCCTAAAAATTCACTTCCGGTCGGAAGTTATCGCCCTTTAATCGAATTTTTAGTGATCATTTTGTCGACACAAAAACTCAAAAACGACAAAAGCTAGAATGTTGTCATTTTCAGGGCTAATAGACAACATATTGTTGTTTTGCACCTATACTTTCAAATCTTCCGGAAGTGCTTAGTATGGAAGCTCGGTAGGGGTCAAAATTTAGGACACGTTTTATGAGTGATTTTTTGAGACATTTTGCATCATATCTTTTAAAGTATAATAATTTTGTTAAAACATACTGAACATAATTTGTGCAGAATGACAAGATCTGAAATATGATATCAAGAAAAAAGTGCTGACTCATCACATTAAGAATCAAAAGTGGCCAAAAGTCTTTTTTCGATAACTCTTTAACAATCAATATTTTGTTATACATTACTGAAGCAAAAATGTTAAGCTTAACAATCTACAACTATATATTATGATATTCATGTTGTATGATGCATAATTAGGGGCCACAAGGGGCCAGAATGCAAAATCTTTGATGCTTTATATCTCGAAAGGGAGAAATATTTTGATAAGCAATATTGAACAAAAGATGTCCAAAATAATGTTCTGAACAATATGCAACCTTTCATTTTTTGCTAAACGTCCCCATTAAGGAGTTGAAGGGTTGGCCCCTAAATATTTCTTTTGCTAATAGCTCAAAAACGAAAAAGAATTTCTGAATAGTTGTTGAACAAAAAATGTTCAAAATCTTAAGATCTTTAAGATGAAATCCCGAAAAAGGGGCTGGGCACTCGAATTAGGGACCAAGAGGGGCCAAAAATCTTTTTTCGATAACTCTTTATCAGTTAATATTTTGTAATACATTACTGAAGCAAAGATGTTTATCTCAACCATCTACAACTATGTATTATGGTTTTCATGTCGTATGGTCAAAATTAGGGGCCGCAAGGGGCCAGAATGCTAAATCTTTGATGCTTTATATCTCGAAAGGGAGAAATATTTTGATAAGCAATATTGAACAAAAGATGTTCAAAATAATGTTCTGAACAATATGCAACCTTTCATTTTTTGCTAAACGTCCCCATTTAGGAGTTGAAGGGTTGGCCCCTAAATATTTATTTTGCTAATAGCTCAAAAACGAAAAACAATTTCTGAACAGTTGTTGAACACAAAATGTTCCAAATCTTAAGATCTTTAAGATGAGATCCCGAAAAAGGGGTTGGGCACTCGAATTAGGGGCCAAGAGGGGCCAAAAGTCTTCAATTGATAACTCTTTGTCAGTTAATATTTTATAATACATTACTGAAGCAAAGATGTTTATCTCAACCATCTACAACTATATATTATGATTTTTATGTCGTATGGTACATAATTAGGGGCCACAAGGGGCCAGAATGCTAAATCTTTGATGCTTTATATCTCGAAAGGAAGAAATATTTTGATAAGCAATATTGAACAAAAGATGTTCAAAATAATGTTCTGAACAATATGCAACCTTTTATTTTTTGCTAAACGTCCCCATTAAAGAGTTGAAGGGTTGGCCCCTAAATATTTCTTTTGCTAATAGCTGAAAAACGGAAAAAAAATTCTTAATAGTTGTTGAGCAAAAAATGTTCAAAATTTTAAGAGCTTTAAGATGATATGAATAAAAAGGGCCGATTCCTAAAATTAGGGGCCGTTAGGGGCCAAAGGCCGATTTCTTAAGTCTTTAATGTTCAAATGTCTTTTTACAGATTGTGGTAAATCATTATTTTAGAATGAAAATCACAATCAAAATCTTATTTCATTTCATCAAGAATTGGACGGAAGACCCACTCGTTGCTCGCAACGAGATCGTATCTAGTTCTTTTTATTATTTTTTTTCCAAAATTTTGTGCACGCAATTTCTCGAAGACTACTGGATGAAATTACATGAAATTTTCAGAAACGATGTGTCCTAATGTGAACTTGATCTATCTGAGCGATTTTTTGAAAATTCTTATCTGGTGCCAAGTTACGGGACATTTCCTGATTTTAAAATGACATTTTGTCTGTGGTTAATCTCAAGAACGGTAAAAGATATCGATGTGAAACTTTCAGGGATTATAGATCGTGATAGATACTATCCAGGATTATCCGCGTCGTCAATACTTCCTGTCGTTAGGAGATGCGAATTGATAAAAGCGTATTTTCTAACTTTTTTGTTTTCCAATATTTTTTATTTAATTTTGGAATATCAATAGAGACCTTTCTACTGATGCTTACTATATAAGTTGTTTGAAGATTGGTTAATCTGAACTCAAGATATTAATATTTGAAAATCTGAAGCGGCCCAAGATGGCGGCTGCCTCTGTCAACTCCGCCATTTCGCGAGTAGGGGTTAATGGAGGCAGCTGAGCGTTTGATTAAATGATTTTGACATAAGGATACATGAAATGTAAAAAACTACTTCGACTCTCACGTAGTAGTGAAATAGTTGGAGGATTACATCCCGTTACTTTTTTATATTATAATAGATAATCAATGTAAATATTGTAATTAATTGGTCAATTGACAAAAGAATTATACAAGTATTATTGATAAATGATGTTCTGTTAGAAAATAATAATAGTGTTGCCAAAAGAAAGGCAGTCTGTTGTATTTTATCAATATGATATCAGATATCTGATAACATGATCATTGATTAAGTTGAGGTACAAGGGGGCTGTACAGCCAATTGGCTTGTGTCTTCACTTTGGTACAGAAACCAATTAGTGTATCGATCAAATCGAATTGTGCAAAGTTGCCGTAGTCAGTGACTAGTTAAAATATAGCTGTGTGACGTTAACTATAGGTTTGTCATTAGGACAGAGAAGCTCTTACAAAGTTAAATACTGTGTAAGTATATTGTATCTACTTGGCTAGAGTTATATAGGCAACTTGGTAAGCAGTAAGACACCAGGCAGGTGTTAAAGGCTAAATCAAGAGGCACCAGGCAGGCTGTTGGGGATAAAAAAGTAAAAAAAAAAAACGCATTCACGTTGGCGACATGGGTTCAATCCTCCTTGTGACCAAAATTTTGAATCTCTTTTCAGCTCGATTTTACGTGGGTTTCTTTTCCTAAAACGGACGGAAGACCTCTCGTTGCTCGCAACGAGATCGTATCTAGTTTTTTTTCTTTTTTTTTGTGCTACAAGTGATATCATGTACATAACAAACTTACGACTGAATTACTAAATTGTTCAAAATATAACAAATCTTTATTTTTATACAATTTTAAAGCTATTCTGATCTATGTTTACTAAACTTAAAGACATTGAAAGCATTGTTTTAGCCTATTTGAAGAGTTCCAAAATGAATTTTGGAACTGATTGTTAATTAAATTAAAAACCACATACTCCCTTGGCAAGTTAGGTTGTGGGGGGTTAAGTAATTCTGACTGTGTATATAAATAAATGAGTGTAGAAGAAAATCATAATCTCTACTTTATTCGTTTCAGACGAGAAGGTCTAGTAATTTTTAGTAATTTATTGAAGGTGGACCCAACACTGGCGTATCATCTTTATCTATGGACGTTACCATCATGTATAAATTGTTGAGGAATTTCTCTGACATTGCTCCCCCTGGAAATGGATGGGGAAAAGAACCTAGAATAGTGGACATCACAGAGAGTGACGACGTAGAGAGAATCCGTTTATATAGAAATAAATACAGCCATGATCCAGGAAGTAGCCCCGTGATGAGTGATGATGTATTTAACATAATCTGGGCTGATATTTCTCAGGTGAGTTTAAGTAATATGTGTTTAAGGTAATTTTGTTTTCCAACAGTGAAATTTAAATGAAATAATTTTAATTGTGGTTGTGGAACATCTCTCAACTGTTAAAATTTATTTCCTCTGATAGAGTAAGACCAGGCATTCATTAATGTTTATGGCGTAGGTAAAAAAAAATATAGGGCCAATTTTATATCTAACAATAAATTGATTTTTAGAGCATATATCTCTCAGAAGAAAATAATGCAAATTAAATTATACGATAGAAACAAAAAAAACATGGGGATAAAATTTACATCTGTATAAAACAATCCTATCTGTATTTTTGTACCTCTCTACAGTATTTGCAAAGTTCAAGTATTTTCTCAATTATTTAATAATGCCATTTATTTCTAATTCGTATAATTAGTCTAAAAATAGTTTTACAATAAAAAATCTTTTTAAAGACTAATTTGTTCAATGTCTGTGTTTTTTTTTATATAAAAAAAGAAATAGTCTCTATATGATAATCCTTGTCAACTTAATCTCTAAAATGTTATATTTTTATAGGAATTATCTGATTTATTTCTTTCCAGGCCATATTAAGACTTAGTGGTGATGTTTTGAAGAGAAGAATAAGTGAAATATAGCTGAGTGGATAATAAAATTTGACAACATTCACGTGACAACAACACACATTTTAATGAAAAATGTCTTTATAATGAAATTTAGGTATCTCCATCCTCCTATGATGTCATAGGTTTTTGCAAAAACTGTTATTAATCTAAATTCATATTCAAAAGAACAATATCTGTTGAAAGAATGATTTTTTAATGGTGCAATGATAGATTTAGAGGTTTTAATTTATTTTTTTTTTTTGCTTTATGCCTGTACACTCCGGTAATATTTTCATTGTATTTAGTTTTACTTTCAAAGCTTTAAGGTGATGTAGTTTGGTTAAATTGAGGTTATAACAAATGTACAGATTCAGACCGATGTTAGATTAGAACTAAAATGAGGAATAAAATTGTACAGTTTCTTTGCATATAACATTTCCTTAAAACTCTTTTTAGAACAGCAATTGCAAGATGATGTTATTATACCCCCCGCAAACGAAGTTTAGGGGGGTATATTGGAATCACCATGTCCGTCTGTCTGTAGAAGAGATTTTGTCTGGACCATTACTCAGAAACTATTGGAAGGATTTGTCTGAAAATTTGTACAAATATTATTCACCATATGAAGTTGTGCATCTGATATTTTCATCTTGATTCGATTATTATTTTGAATTTTACAGGTGTTTTTTTTTTCATTTTTATTTTGTGGTTTTGTCCGGACCGTTTCTCAGAAACTATTGCAAGGATTAATCTGAAAATTTGTACACTTATTATTCACCATATGAAGGTGTGCAATTGGAATTTTCAACTCTTTTTGTTCATTTTACAGGTTTTATTTTTTATTTTAATTGACTTGTTCATTTTGGGCTCATGTATAAGGTTTGAGACATAGAATCTAGATTATCTGTGCAAAAATACTACAGCTTAAAACTACTCATATAAACTTTAAAAAAAAAGAAACATCAAGTGTTAAAAACAGTTTTTATATTGCATAGAAGATAATGTAATTTTATTTATCTCTTGGGAATAATGACTGGACATGCATCCAGTTAAAGATAAATTAATGAGTTTGGTGTGGGAAGTTGAACATTAAGGCATCTTATTATCAACCGTGTGTAATCTCCTGGGAATCAGGCACAAGAATTAAAGATCTCTCTTCTCTTATTCTCTTAACTGTAATTTATTGTCTGTCAAAGCACTTCATTACTGGATGACCAGCTCTTTATTTTCAAATGAATTTGATATAAAGTTATCAAGATTAATTTGATTTTGTATAAAATGATTTTTTTTCAACAATTAGTTTGCAGAGTGACATAACACATAATTGCAATATATTTTTTTAATGCAGAAATAAAAAAAATTAAATAAAAAAAATAATGTTACAATAGAATTACAATGTGTTAGTATTGATGTTTCATTTGGTTGCACCTTTGTTTCATTCATTAAGAAACATGATGAGCAATTATATTTCACTGCAAATTTTTGTAAGTAAATTGTGAACACCTCTAGATTCATAAAGTATTTTTGAATTGGCACCTTCTCTGAAAAACCCAGCGGGGGGTATTTGTCCCTATTGGACAGTTCTAGTTGATACTGAAAATGAAACGCACTTTTGTAGCGTGCATTCAAAAACCTTTTTATACGCCCGTCTTAAGACGGGACGTATTATGTTATAGGCTTCGTGTCCGTCCGTCTGTTAGCTTTTCTCGTGTCCGGCTCATAACTTTAATACTATAAGGCCTAGAGTTATCAAACTTTGTCAGCTGATACATCTTGGGTAGAAGGTGTGTCGCACACAAAAAGTAGGTCGCTCTGACCTTTAATAAAGATGCTATAGCCAAATATGGAAAAATCCTGTCCGGCTCATAACTTGAAAACTATGAGACCTAGAGCTTTCAAACTTGGCAAAAGTATACGTCTTAGGTAGAAGGTGTGTCGCGGCCTATTTCAAAGTCACTGTGACCTTAAATTTAAGTGATTTTTAAAAAAAAACTAAGTCTTTTAAATTTTAAATTTCATAATCCTAAAAAATGTAAAAATATAGTGGTATCCTTATTAAAAAATGTTAAATTAAGTAAAAACTTATTTTTTCATTATATACTTTACAGCAATCTGTAACAAATGTTTATGCTTTGAGAGGAATTCAGTTTGTCCCATGGGCATAATTATCAAGCACTGGTCAAGAAGAATTTTGATAGCAGAGACTTGCATGTCAAATTGGAGAGAAATTTATGAGTTTATTGTCAGGAGCTAAGAGCATCTGTAGATCTGATGCAGCTGTTATCTTAATTTATCTCTTGGGAGTTGGGCAAAAAGAAATGGCCTCATAGTTCCTTTTGTTAATTAAGAGTTCTTGATGGCTAGTCCAGATAAAGATCTTTCAATTGGTGTAATGTAATTAAAACAAATTTATGTTTTAGTGATTATTAAAACTAAATTAGTATTGTATAATATAATTAAAACTAAATATACATGTGTTCATTGAAAAAAAAATTATATTTCAATTTTTATATATTTGCAACAAATTGCAGTTATGTCTCACTTAGAATTTTATAGTCTGAAGAATTATTATAATTTATGTTTGATTTTTTTTATTAAACTGTAGCATTTCCATTACTTCATAAAATATGCAGTAAACAATTTAAGTTTAAGTAAGCTGCATATGGATTAAATTTGTTATGCTCTAACACAACCAGTTTTGAATGATATGATGTATTTGTTATAATCAATCCCTACACTGTAAGTCTCTTTGAGATGTATGATAAGAAACGGAAATTAGATCATTTAAATCTGTGTCAATCTGTTAATCAAGGCCTACCTGAATGAATTAACATAATCTGAACATATATAGATCAATATACAGGTATAATGAAAAAAATGCGGTTGGATCGGAAATCAAACTGGGAGCCTTGAAAACTAGCTATTGAGGTTCAGAAACTACTGAGCATTCCAGGTTGATGTCTTCAGTCCACCCTAAACTACTACAAAACAATACAAATTATTAGCAGAGGTGGGAATAACCATTCCATGCAGAACAAGTTCTATCCATCGAGTCTCAATTGCATGATTTGATAAACTGGTGCATTTCGGTGTCAAAAATATAATTGATATGTAGGGATGGCAATTTGTAACCTGGTTATCGATAAATTGGTCGGAAGGATGGTATTAGTTAGAAAATCTGTATTCGTTTAATCGAAAAAAAATTTCAATTTGAAGGTTATTTTCTTAAATTTTAATTAAGATTATTTAGGGTTAATAATGGTATTCAAGATTAAGATTGCGGGATAATTGATTAAGAGTTAATTACATAGTTATAGATATTTCTTTCATTCAATAGATGTTCAATAGATCTTCCTTCGGTATGAAGAATCCTTGAAATACTATGGTGGCAGAGTAAAATTTGTAGATATTTTTATCACTTTATTATGATTAATTAATTTAGTATTTTCATTAGTTAGAAAATTATTTGAACCATGAATTTGTTGAATGTGAATATATATTTAAACTACTGTAAGTTATTTTCTAAATGAGTATATCACTCATGTGAGTATTTTAACTTTTACACACTGTACCTATATTTAGAGGGAATACCCTTTTCCTTGCTTTTCATTGGTCAGTGTGGTCAATTGTAAAGAATTTGGTCATGTGATACTTTTGGGGGGAGATTTACTGTTGTGTGTTATATGTAGTTCCTGTGCTGCATTCTGTGTTGTGTCAGTCAGTTTTGTCCAAAATTTTAAGCTGTAATTGGAATCTGTTTACATAATCAGGTCAGAAAATTTGTATTTACCTATATAGTCTTTATATTAGATACATAAGTATGTGTTCAGTAATATTAGAAATAGTTAGATACCAATTCTATTAAAATGGCTGATCGTACTGAAAGAACGAGTATGAGTGTAACATTTATTTTGAAAGGAAATACAGGATTGGTAATATAAATATAGATACAGCACAGTGAACTGAATAGCTGAATTAAGTTAGTGAATTTATTTTTACCTTTAGATAGATTTCACATGATCAGAGGATGTAGGCTTAACTTATTGTAAGTCTACCTTTACACCTCATGTGAGGTAAGCATTATTTCTAGAGTTTTAGGTTTGAAATATATATGTCCTGACACATTTATGATCATAATACTGATGAAACATACATGTAAACATGTTCTTCATGAATTCATGTGAAATAAGGTTTTACATGATAATATGCAGTGAGACTTAAATGAGTATATTATCAGTATATTTATAATACTTTGTTTGTCATAATAATGAGCAGTCATAGATAATTTTCACAGACACAAATATTTTTGAGTCTTGTGTATAAAGGGAAATAACTGGTATTTTCATTTTATTCGGAAACATGAACGTGAGAGTGTTCGTTCTTGCAATGTTGTTTATTAAGCTTTTACTATGTTACAGGGTCAAAACCTCAACCGATGTATTATCGTTAAATAAATGGTGTAAACTTTACTATAGTCATTTCATCCCTACTAAATCCAAAACGCCATAAGACCCCGGGTTACACTATGATTAGCCTAGAATAGCACTTACCTTGTTAACCCGAAATTCCTTTGACGATATGTAAACTTAAACAGGATATTTCACCTCTTTTATCTAGAAATATATTAAGAACTCATTATATGGTAAGATTATTCTGAGTATGGATCATTCTTCGTAAATTAAAAACAAAGAATTCCTCAACAAGACTGCTGAACATTATTATAAATGTTGGGGCGAAGAGAATTTTCAAGACCAAACAAATTCAGTCTGATGCGCGTTACAACATTTAAGAAATAATATACAATTATTGCTGTTTTTTGAGGTCAATACAATGATTTAGCCATCTGAGGAGTGCAATATTTACCGAGCCCGAAGGGCGAGGTGAATATTGTACTTCGAAGATGGCTAAATCATTGTATTGACCGAAAAAACAGCAATAATTGTTTTATTATATGATTCACTGAAAAAATAATACATCTCATTACTTGTTTGCATTTAATTAAATCCTAGCCAACTACAAGAGAGAAGCAGAATTAAAATGTGAATAAACCTTACCAGTCGTATCAATTTGAAATGGTTTTTTTTAAATCAATTTTAGTTGCCATGAAAAAATATATAATGTCAGTCTATTTTATAGGATAGATTTTGAAAGGAAGGAGTATTATCAGGAAAAAAAGACTGCCAAAAAGTTAAAAAAAATTGTTGTTCAGTAAAAGTGTTGGAGGGGTGTCCCTGCATCCCCTCTTACCACCCTCACCCTAAAATATATATTCGTTTATGTTTTGTTCACATGAAGAAAAAATCATAGTCGTTTAAATAGCTTTCCAAAACAATTTGTATCAATTTGGAATTTCCCAATCTATTTTTAGATCAATGTAGAGGAAATAAATCCTTGTATTGACCTGGCACGTCACGTGCAGGTCAATACAACGTAGTATTTTTCTAACATAGTTGGATCTCAGCCAATCAGAGAGATGGAAATTATTCAATCATATAATAAACAACGTTATTCAGTGAACATGGCGTTATGAATAGCAATTGCTCTGCTGGCATATTCCATGATGCGCGCTAGCGCATCATGGAAAATATGCCAGCAGAGCTATTGCTATTCATAATGCCATGTTCACTGAATGATCGTTGTTTATTACTTATATTTGCATTCTTTGATTTTTTTCAAGAAAATCAGAGGAAATCCTAACTTACCCTCGAATCATGAGTTTTCGTGGCATTACGGTTAATTTGTAATAAAGTCCTTCAAAACTGAATAATTCAGATGTTTGTTATTTATCACATATACAAACAATAATTCTCCTTATTTTAAAATGATTTACCATCAGATAGCATTTGTTATTTGTTCAGATGGTCATTGAATTCTTGCATAATTGCTCTTTCGATTTTTTTGCTGACGTCATATGATTTCGTGGTATTTATAAAACAAGTAAACTATGGAAATCCAGTCGGGGAAAATCCTTATAAATTTTACAGTGTCCAAAATACTAGTTAATTGACAAAATGATTACATTATTTGACATGGTAATTTATTTGTTGTTAATTAAGACCACATCTATCTAGGCGTGCCTAAGCTGTATTGCTAAATAATGTAAAAAAAATTTCTCTTTCTCAAGAGTGGCCTAGAAGTAATTTTATAAAGCTTTATTTGAATGTTTCATGTTTTAAGATATAAATTACATGTATATTTAAAAAAAATTAGATGTTTAATTCAATTAATTATCAATGGCACAATATTTTTTTTTATCGTATAACTTTTTAACACCCCCGATATTTTCTTTGAAAATTATACAAAAAATGACGTTACTAGATCACCGTAGAAAAAATTTCAAATGTGGGAAATTCCAAATTATTGTCACTTGACCGGTAGCTGTATGGATAGTTAACAGACGATGATATGCAAGATCGCCGGCTATAAGTTTGTAAGTTTGGTATTCTAGTTCAAAACACGACGAATAAGCGTATATTACGCAAATGGTCAAATTTGCGAACTATGCATAGCTCACTCGCTATATTTTATTTTGGCAAAGGCTAAAAGGTTTAACACTTGGTCATAAAACGTGCAGAGGGTTCCCCTATATTAATAGCAAATATGACGACATTTCGATCTCGCATTGTGCGATTATTCCTAAGAATAAAAAATACCACGAAAACGTATATACCACGAAAATACATGACGGGACGGTACATAACACCCAAAGTCAATAAAAGCGTGCAATTAAGGGTTGAGAAAAATGAAAATTTCAGTATTGGTATTTTCTTTTCAAAATATAGCAGAAATATTGACAAATACCTAAATATGTCTATGCTAAATGGATTTCAAGTTAACTTTCGAGGTTTTTGTAAAACCATCTTTCAAAGTATGGTAACATTTTTCACATTTTTCTATGGTGTAACATCCGTTACTGTTCACCATCGTTTGAAATTTATTAAATAAATATTTTTCCCTGTATTCTTGGATTAGGTA